TTAAACCAAATTGCTTTCTTGGACTTTTGCTATTTTGATGATGAAAGGCATGTGACTGCCGAGTCAGTTCTACCTGGGATAAAGTGACCATCTTTGTTAATCTATCAGCTGACTCATTATCTTCAGCCAGTGAGTCAGGAAAATTCGAATGAGCACTTATATGACCCACAAAGCATGGTGATTTTCTTTGACGAATGACATTTGAATTTGCTGAAACTATTTTAGCCTGACCTTACTCGTTCCAATGCATGGAACTGTCTCTATTACTTGAAGAGCTTTAAAACCTTAATGACTATCAGTATACAAATTAAATGAATTATTCAAAAGAAGCTGAAAAAGTATTGCAACAGCTCATAACTCAACTATTTGAGCTGAAGCTCGAGTTGTTTGTACTACTTATCCTTTACCATCAATAACATAAGCTGCTTTTCCATTAGAAAAACCATCAGTAAAAACTAAGCATATTTTACAGGATCTCTTACAATTTTAGGGAATATAAAAAAGGATGCATTTGTGCAAATTGCAACAGTCTATCAGCTGGAAACTGATTGTCAGTTTGGTTCAAAAATTAAGCAAAAGTAATTGCCCAAGAATCATTATTTTGAAATAACCAATCAACTTGCTATTTGATATAAGGAACATAGATTACACTTGGTTCTCTGCCAAAATATCTCCTAGATTCCATATGGCATTTCTGTACCATACAAGCTACTGCTTCATAATAAGGGTTTAAGACTTTGGCTGGGGAAACAGGTAGGTGCAACCATAAAAATGGTCCCCTTGCCATAAGACAGTAGGCAGACTATGCCCTGTAGGAAGTGTTGTTCTTAAAAAAAAATGTTGTTCTTTTGCTGCAGCTGCTGAGGGCGGTGAAACACGAACCACAAAACTCAACAAACCCACATGGAGTTTACTGGGAAAAGGTGTGAAGGGAGGGGTAGGTGTTGGCCAACTGGGAACGGAGATGGAAGGGGGAAGGGAAGAGAAAAGAAGTAAAGAGACACAGAGACATAGAGAGAGGGGACAGGAGAGAAGAGGGAGACAAGAAAAGTCCAGTCTGCCCCAGGGAACACTAGGAAAGAGGGAGCAGGAAAGAGAGTGGAAAGAGAGGAGTGGGAAAGAGAAGAGAGCAGACAGAGATGAGCAGGCAGAAAGACCATTAAGTGGGTTCGGTCTTTTTCTTAAAGGGGTCCTTTGCCCCTCCATAGCACCCTGAGCTGACCAGGTTACTGCCTGAGTGCATTTTGCCAGGTGATAGGGGCAGGCCAGCATGATGCCTGAACTCTTATAGGAAGTATATAAGCTTCCCATGGTTTTGCGTAGTCAATATAGTATGCTTGCTGCTGTTGGATAGCATTCTCAATCTGTGAGAGAACCTGTCTATCTCTTCAGGTAGCTGTCTAGGTGAATTGGGATCATGGTCCCCTTTTAAAATGTCACTTAAAGGTTCCAAATCTCCAGTAGATACTTTTAAATGAGGTCATAACCATTGAATATTTCCCAATAACTTCTGAAAGTCATTCAAAGATGACAAGCTATCTTTCCTAATTTCCAAGTTTTGAGGCTTAATTTCTTTAGGATATAACATATGTCCCAAATACTAAAAAGGCAGTTGTCTTTGCACCTTTTCAGGGGCAATTACTAATCCTGCTTTGGCAAGGTTCTGTTGCAGCTGTCCATATGTTGCAAGCAAAATGTCTTCACCTTTATGGGTAAGAAAAATATCCATATAATGAACAATATAAACCTTCGGAAATTGAGCTCTAGTAATTTGTATAGCTTGAGCCACAAATGTCTGGCATGATATTGTGCCATACCCTGGGGCAAGACCTTCTACTGATATCTCCTCATTGGCTCCTTGAAATTAACTGATGGAACACTAAATGCAAATCTATGAGAGTCTTAGGGAGCCAAAGGGATGGTATAAAAACAATTTTTTAAATCTAAAATAATCTTATTGGTATCTTTTGGCATGGCTACAGGAATAGACAGTCCTGGCTGTAAAGCTCCCACTAATTGCATGATCTCATTAGCTTTTCTCAAATCTTGTGTCAATCTCCACTTTCCAGTTTTTTCTTTTAATCGCAAAACAGGAGAATTCCATGGGGAATTAGAAGGCACAATATGACCACTGTCCAGCTGTTCCTGCACTAATTGCTGAGCAGCTTGTAGTTTTCTTCTGATAGAGGCCACTGATCTATCCATAGTGACTCATCACTATTCCAAATAATAGTGCCTGCATGGAGCGCAGGCTTCTCAGTGACCTCTCCTAAAAATATCCTAATCCTGTTCTGGGAGGTCTCATGCTAGGCATGATAGGATCAAGTCTTCCCTCATTCTCCTTGCCTAGACCTTGGTTGGGCAACAATCCCCCTACAGCCCTCCTTGATACTTAGCCTCTCTGGGTCTGTGGATCCAGAGAGTGAATATCCTTTACTTTACAGATAATATCCACTTGTAAGTGAGTACATACCATGTTTATCTTTCTGGATCTGGTTTTTCTTGCCCAGGATGATTTTTTTTTTAAGTTCCGTTGGTTTCCCTATTTATTTATTTATTTATTTATTTATTTATTTATTTATTTATTTTTTGAGGCAGGGTTTCTCTATGTAACAGCTCTGGCTGTCCTGGAACTCACTCTGTAGACCAGACTGGCCTCAATGCCTGCTCTGCCTCTGCCTCCTGAGTGCTGGGAGTAAAGGCGAACACCACCACTGCTGGGGATGGTTTCATGATCTTATAGAGGCATTTTCTCAGTTGAGGCTCCCTCCTCTCAGATGCCTCTAGCCTATGACATAAAATTAGCCAGCACAGCGAGGGATATTGGTAAAGTTTAAAACCCTTATGGAGCAGAATAGATTGTGGATGGTGTCTGAGATTTGGAAGTTTTTTTTCTCTTTCTTTCATTCTCTCTCTCTCTCTCTCTCTCTCTCTCTCTCTTTCTCTCTCTCCTCCTTCCCTCCCTCCCTTTCTCCCTTTCTCTCTCTCTCTTTCTTTCTTTCGTTTTCTTTCTTTCTCTCTCATTTGTTTAGTCGTTTAGTGTGTGTGTGCCTGTGTGTAGTTCAGAGAACAGCTTGGGGGAGTCAGTTCTCTCCTTGCACTATGTGGGTTCTGGAGCTCAGACTCAAGTTCTCAGGCTTGGCAGTAAGTATCTTTATCCTTAAGCCATCCTGCTGGCCACAGATTCTGAAGTTCTAAGTAACTCTAAGATAATGCCTTTATTAGCTCAGGACCATTGCCATGATAAGAGAGGACCCCTTGCCTTGTTTGCCCAGTGCTCATGCTTGGGTGATGGCCACATTTAAAAGATGCAGTTGGGGCTCACTAGAATAAACTGCAAATACATCTGTGGATGCCATCCGGGGCTTGCTACACAGTGCCCCCTAGTGGATGTGAAACCTATAGCATCCCCAGGCAGCTAAAGCCGTGCTTCTAGAAGGTTCTCTCTGAGGATAGCCTTTTTCTGGTGAGTGTCTGGATGGGACAGAATCGAGAAGACTGGAGCCAGATAGCAGCTACTTAGTGGCAAATTTTCTCTAGGCAAAGATCGGAGTGACCACCTTGGGCCCCATGAAGTGAAGGGCTGGTACTTCCGAACTTTTTCCTGCTTAGGCGTGTGCAATCTACTGGCCACGGAGACCGGTAGCGCTGAGTGTGATCAACACAAGATTGTAAACTTACTTAAAACGTCGAGTCTCTTTTTCTATGATGATGATTGATAACTTGATCAAGCAATTCTTTAGTATGAACTTGTAGATCAGTGGTTCTCAACCTTCCTAATGCTACGACCCTTTAATCCAGTTCCTCGTGTGGTGGCGACCCCCCAACCATAAAACTTATTTTTGTTGCTCCTTCATAACTGTAATTTTGAGCCGGGCGTTGGTGGTGCACGCCTTTAATCCCAGCACTCGAGAGGCAGAGGCAGGTGGATCTCTGTGAGTTCAAGGCCAGTCTGGTCTCCAGAGCGAGTGCCAGGATAGGCTCCAAAGCTACACAGAGAAACCCTGTCTCAAAAACAAAACAAAACAAAACAAAAAACAAAAAAATAACTGTACTTTTGCTCCTGTTATGAATCATAATGTAAATATCTGTGTTTTCCAACGGTCTTAGACAAAGACCCCCGTAAAAGGGTCCTTTGACATGCAAGGGGGTCTTGAACCATAGGTTGAAAAATACTATTAGAGATCATAATACCGTTTTGACTCAGCTTAATTTTTGCAAACTCAACATGGATTTTAAAAGCAAAGGCAAGATAGGAAGTGTGGCTCAGGTGTGTAATTGCGGCTTTTTTGGGGGGGGGCAGTTTGGAGGCTTGCAGTGTGTTTGATGTGAGTTCCTGGAAAGCCTACGCTTCGAGTGTAGACCCTGCCTCAAACAAACAACAGAGACTTTTATCTTTGTCTATACCTGTTCCTGGGCCCACTTTTCAGATGACTATTTTTTGAGTGAAAGACAGACTTTCACTGTGTTGTCCAGGCTGTTTTCAGCTGAAGAAACTTGGGCCCCAGAAGATGGGCTGGGATGGGGCTTATGCTGCCATGGAGAAGAGAGAAGCCTGCCTGAGAGGAGGGGTAGAGGGAGGGAGACCGGGAGAGAGCAAACAAAGGAGTCACGAGGGAAAAGAGTGCACAGGCTTCTTGAGGCTCTGCAGAGGCTGGGCAGGGAAAAGGGGCCAGGGCCAGATGGAAACCTGGGGCAAGCATGCCTTGAATGACCTTGTTTGAAGAGTTGTCATACAGCAGTTATCATCTCAGACCTGAGCTCTCTCTTGAGTGCTGGCATCTGAGACTTCTAGGCTACTTGATACGTGGAACCAAACCCTGAGTTTGATGAGGGTCCCAGGATAGGGTTCAGGAGCCCAATATTACCCAGAGATTGAGTCACGGGGTCTCTCTTGAACCAAGGACATAGAGCCCATGGTGGGAAAGTTGGGGTGAGCTGCCCTCTTGTGCCCTGTCTCCTTCCTTCCTATCCGTTCTGGCCTTCTCCCACAGATAGCAATGAAGAGAAACGGCAGACACCTCAGTGATGAAGAGGGTGTCAGTGGGTGTGAGGACTGTGTCATCATCACTGGGACCTGCAGTGACCAGTCCTCAGACGCCAAGGATGTCACCTTGACCCAAGTCTTGGAGGCATTCTGCCCAGTGGAGAACAGTGGTAGGTGGGCAGTGAGGAGCTGGGGGTGGGTTTATATTCTGAAACACCAGGTACAGCTGCACCCACAGCTCAGCCGGGACAAGAGCTTCTCCCTGGCTCATGAAGCCATGGGAATTCTGAACGCCCACACATGCTTCATTAAATGGGACCAGTCTACTCCCACAGGACACAGTCAACACCAAAGCTCTATCCTGTCTATGCCCACAGCTTCCTGCCTCTTTCTCTGAGGGACTCTGAGGAAGAGCACCCAAGGTGGCGGGTCCCTTACTTTGCCATTCCTGGTAGGGCTGATCTCAGCATGGACAGGATCATGGTTCCTCTTGTGCTGACGTCGTCATGGATGAGAGGTGCTTCCTACTGCCCCTTCCTCATAGCTCCTCCCAGAACACCTTTGTTGTCCAGTCCTGTCCTTGAGACCTATGGTCCCAATCAGAACTTTCTGTAAGGGCAAAAGTGGCCAATTTCCATGTTCACCCTAGTAGCCACTTGACCACATAGAAATACTTCAAATGCAGTCACTATTAGAAACCAGATTGTTCATTTAAATGAAATTGTCATCATAGGATTAGGCAGTGACTTTCTTGAAGGAAATGGATGCCTCCCCTCCATACTAGGACCCTAAATGTTACTACTTAGCTTGTAGGGAGGAAGGCACTAGCCGGTGCCCTGTTGCTTTATGAGTACATAGAGGAGACAGGGACACAGCATGGTTTCTGCTGATGACTGGTTTGGGGGAGACATTAAAGAAGGCCTGTTGTTCATTCCTCTGAATGTGTGCTCTGACTCTGTCCCCCACAGGCTGCAGAGCAAGCTCACGACGGTTCAAGAGGAGGGTCTCCAACACGGTTACTTACTTTCAGGTACCATCTCCTCCTTTGCAGGGTTCTAGGCATTTCTTTTTGCTTTCATCATATGGGTATCCCACGGCTCAAAAAATTGGAAATCTAGAAGTTAAAGTCTCTACTCATTTATTTAATCAGGCTGGAAAGTTCTGAGTTATTGGGTCCTTGCTTGTTTCTGAAATTGGTTCTTAATTTATGTGATCATTATTGTTGGTAAGTTAACTAATACAGCAAATTTCATTTATTCCAAAATGGTCAAACCATGTTTGGACTTTTTGTTTTTGTCTTATTTTGTTTCATGTTGAGACAGGATCTGTCTGGGTAGCTCTGCTGGGCCTGGAAACCTTTGTGCAGACCAGGATTATAGTCAAGTCACCACATCTGACTTTTTGTTTCCTTGCTGGAAATCAAACCCACAGCCTCACACATAGTCTAACATGGGACTATATCTCAGTCCTTAAAGTTTGGTTTTTAATTTCCTGTATTCTTATCACAAAAACAAGACACAACATAAAAATAAAAACAAAAACCCAAACCAAAGAAACCCCCAAACATAAAATACTTGGGAATGAACTTAACTAAGAAAATGAAAGACTTCTATAATGGAAACTTTAAGACATTGAAAACAGAAATTAAAGATGAAAGTAGATGATAAAAAGAGCTTCCATGGTCTTGGATTAACAGAATTAATGTGAAAATGGGTGTACAAACACAAGTAATTTACAGATTTGATCCAATCCTCACCAAAGTTCTATAACGAGTCATTCTTTGTACCATCAGCTCCCAAGCAATGACACAGAGACTTATTAATTATGACAGCATGGCCTTGGCTTAGGCTTGTCCCTCTAACTCTTATAACTTAAGTTAACCCATTTATTTAATCTACATTCTGTCTCATGGCTCGTTACCTCACCCCTCCATACTGCTCATGCTGTTTCCTCCACATCTGGCTGGTGACCCCACCTTTCTTCTTCCCTGAGACCTCTCTGTCCCCAGAAGTCCTGCCTAACCTCTACCTGCCTAGCTATTGGCCATTTGGCTTTTTATTAAACCAATCACAATGACACGTCTTTACACAGTGTAAAGGAATATTCTGCAACAAAGTTCCAATGACATTTTCCAGGTAACTAGAAAAAACAATTAAAAACTCCTATGGAAATACAAAAGACCACAAGTAACCAAATTGATCCTGAACAGAAAGAACACCATTGGAGGTATCACAATACTCCATGTCAGATTATGTTACTCAGTTATGCAGGAAAGAATTGAATAGAGGGCCTAGAGGTAAACTCTCACAGATATGGCCACCTAATTTTTGACAAAGATGTTAAAAACATAGCCTGAAAAAGGGTAACCTATTAAACAAATGGTTCTAGTAAATCTGGGTATCCATCTTATAGCCATTTGAATAAGAATGGCTTCCATAGGTTTTATGTTTGAATACTTGGCCTCTAGTTGGTGGAACTGCTTGGGAAGGGTTAGGAGGTGTGGTCTTGTTGCAGGAGGTGTGTCATCGGGAGTGGGTTTCGAGGTTTCAAAACCTCATGCCATTCCCAGTGAGTTCTCTCTAGCTCCTACTTGTGGATCAAGATGTGATCTCTCAGATGTTCCTACCATCTTGCCTTTGTTGTGCCATCAAGGACTTTTAGCCCTCTGAAAACATGAGCCAATGAAATGCTTTCTTTTATAAGTTGTTCTGGTCATGGTGTTTGTAACAGTAATAAAAAGCCTAACTAAGGCATAGCTGTAGAGGAGTAAAATGAGAGTCATGTTTCTTATCCTGTAAAAAAAAAAATCAAAGTGGATCAAAGACCTTAATTCTAAACCCGACATGCTCAAAGTGCTAATGGAAAACGTACAGAATACAGTTCAATACAAAGGGACTTTCTGAACAGGCTTCCAGTAGCATCAGAAATAACAAGAATAAAGAAACACAGCCACATGAAGTCAAAAATTTCAGCTGGGCGTTGGTGGCGCACACCTTTAATCCTCACTTGGGAGACCGAGACAGGTGGATCTCTGTGAGTTCCAGGCCAACCTGGTCTACAGAGCCAGTTCCAGGACAGGCTCCAAAGCTACACAGAGAAACACTGTCTCAAAAAACCAAAACAACAACAACAACAACAACAAAATCACACAAAACAAAAATTTCTGCACAGCAAGGCTGGAGAGATGGCTCAGTGATTAAGAGCACTGGCTACTCTTCCAGAGGACCTGAGTTCAATTCCAGCAGCCACATAGCAGTTCACAACTGTGTGTAACTCCAGTTCTAGGGTATCTGACACCCTCACAGACATACATACAGGCAAAACACCAATGTTCATGAAGGAAAAATAAATGAATATTAACTAAAAAACCTTTCTACACAGCAAAGGAAACAGCCTACAGAATAGGATAAAACCATTTCCACCAAATTTTAGACAGGAGTTTGGTATTCAGAATATATATTTATAAAGAACTGCAAAAATTAAACACCCAAGTTACTTACATCTAGTTTTTATTTAGAAACTCAGCTTAGTTACTAGTAAATCCATTTTAAAAATATTTTTCTTGCATTTTCTTTTTTTTTGAGACAGGATTTCTCTGTGTAGTCTTGGCTGTCCTGAAACTCGCTTTGTAGAGCAGGTTGGTCTCAAACTCAGAGATCTACCCACCTCTGCCTCCTGAGTGCTGGGATTAAAGGTGTGCGCCACCACTGCTCAGCCGAGTTGTATTTTCATCATGACCATTCCCCCTGCTTCTCATTTTACCATTCTCTTGTTGGCTTGGGTTTTGCTCCCAAGCGCCAGGCATCCGGCACAGTGCAGAGAAATCACAGCAGTAAACACGTGTTTCCATTCAGCTTTTATTCCCCTGGAGGGTGGTGGGAAGCCCCTTGAGGGGATCCAGGTGATGTCCAGGAACAATGGAAAACAATGGAAAGTTAAGGCAGGTTGCACACACCTGTTACCCCAGCACTCTGAGGGCAGCCTGCACTTTGTTGTGAGACTGTCTCAGAAATAAAAGGGACACCTGAAGAAGCGGCCTGTAGGGATTGCTGTTGTGTTTCTGTGGTTAGTTAGCAGTCAGGGCACTTAAATCTGAGCCTGGCATTGAGATAAATGTGCCTGCACTGATCTGCTGGAAGGACTGTTCATCTGACTTGCAAGGAACAGACTAGCAAGGCCACACAGCTGCCAAATGGAAAGTTAGGTTCGTAATACTTTGACCAGGTCTCTGGGCTTTTCACTGTTCTCTGCCTGTGTTCCGGGTATGCTGCGCTTAGTGTGAGGCCAAGGATAGAGTTGATGATGTTGCTTCTTGGTTATTTTAGTAACAGGTGTCCATCTTGGTCAGTTGGCCCGTGTCCTCCTCACACATGTTGTGAATAGCAAAAATCACCAGGCCCCGATGCCGGGCAGCTTTGTGTCTTTATCAATTTCTGTCACTTGCTGATCACATGGGTTTTACCCTTCAGTCCCAATTTGGATTTGTGATCCTGTGGTTAGCTGTCATAATTTTTTTTTAAAGGTTTGTGCACCAAAGTAATTTATTGCCAATACTTCGCAAGGGATATAGTGTCATTACTGCAACCACAAAATCATAATTTCTGTACAGGGCTGTGTAAGTGGACATTAATCAATGCATTTGCAACTCAATTCATAAAAAGGGTAAGTGGCACCTTCCTGGGAGGGGAGACGCTGTGATTGTGGAGGGGTTTTTCCCAGGATGATGCTTATTCATTCATTGTACACTGGATGCCCCGACCCCTGTGATTTCCTCAAATGTGGGAAACTCTATTGTGTAATTTGTGGTAGTGTGTTTGGGTTCTCCCCTTAAAAAAATAGAGGACAGATAACCTTACTATAGGACATAATATACGGAAAAAAGATTGTAAAATTTTCTGACCTTGCAATGTCCTCTCTGACCCCGCATTTTCCAGACAGAATCTCACTATGTAGCTTTGGCTGTCCTGGAACTCACTCTTAGACCAGGTTGGCCTCAGATTCACAGAGATCCACCTGCCTCTGCCTCCTAAATTCGGGGATTAAAGACTTGCTCCTCTATGCCTGCCTGTATTGCACTTTTTATTTTTATTTATTTTTATTTATTTTTTGTTTTTTGAAGCAAGGTTTCTCTGTTACTTTATTTTTCAATTACTTTTTAAAATTATGTCTATGGGTGTTTTGCCTGCATGTATGTCCGTGCACCATGTGCGTGCATGCAGTGTCCTCAGAGGCCAGAAGGGGGCAGAAGATCCTCTGGAACTGGGGTTACAGGTCCTTGTGAGCCTGTAACTCTTGTGGGTGCTGGTAATTGAACCCCAGTCCTCTGGAAGAGCAGCCAGTGTTCTTAACAGCTGAGTCATCTCAACAACCCACACTGTGCACTTTTTTTTTTCAGATTTTTTTAATTTGAATTAGAAACAAGATTGTTTTACATGACAATCCCAGTTACACTGTGCACTTTTTAGTGCAAGTATTTAACATACAGTCATGTTTAAGTCAGCAAAATATTGTAGAAAGTCATGCCACAGTCCACTAAATTCAGAGAGGGTAAGGACATGTGGCTTGTAATAACGCCAACAACAATAAACATATCCATGTAATTCATAAAACACACAGTGGTTTATTTAGTTTCAAACTATTTTACCATAAATAAAGTATAACTATAATAAACATCTCAACAGGAATAGTTGTTTTGTTTTTTTCCCTCAGGATCTCACTGTACAGCCCTGGCTGGTGTAAAGTTCTGTGTTAACCAGGCTAGCCTTGAACTAATAGAGAACCTCCAATCTCTGCTTCCTGAACACTGGGATTAAAGGTGTGTGCCAGGAGAGGCAGGGATATTCTCATTGGTAGGGCATGTCTTTCCCTTCCAGCGCTTTGTAAGTTGTTGCCTTCCCCCTGAGTGCCAGTACTGTTAAACGGTTTCAGTTGTTCTTGCTCAGATCTTGACACTTCTTTTTGAATTGTTCTAGAGATCTGATCAGTATCGATCTCTGCTTATTCTGGTCTGGTCTTTCATGTGCCTTTTGTTTTTTAGCTTTTTTTTTTTTTTTTTTTTAATCTGGTTTGCTAGCAACCATTGTTTCTGCCTGAATTTCATGTGTTTATTAAACAAAATAATTTGAGTGTCTCCCCATTTCTGTCAGCATTTCATTCAACAGCAACATTAAGATGTATGTAGTCACCATGTGGCTCTGAAAATATAAATGCATGCAATGGCTTGTTCTGGCCTAAGCTGGTGCATTATTCCAGTTCTACAAGCTGGGATGGGACGCCAGTGGAGGGAGTGTGATGCTCTAGAGTATGGACCAGTGGCTGGGATGGGGCTCCAGTGGAGGCAGTGTGATGCTCTAGAGAATGGACCAGTGGCTGGGATGGACTTCCCAAGAACTGATTTAAATCTGAATCCCTTAGCAAATGGGGATGTTACACTGTTGTCTGAAGACATCTTTCCAGAGCTGGTCTCCATTTCCCACAAATTTGGGGAATGACGAATCTTCTTTACTTACTTTGAACTGGATTGTGTCTATTGAACACTTCTGGAGCTGGTGGCACAGTGTAAATATTATGTAAATTACTTTCTTGCTAATCTGCTATGCAAATGAATAAAATAATTGAATCTTCTTTTAATTGAACATTTTTAAAAAAATTTTTAAAATATCTATATCTATCTATTGTTTTGAGACAGGGTTTCTCTGTGCCCTGTCTGTTCTGCAACTTGCTTTGTAGACCAGGCTGGCCTCGAACTCACAGAGATCCACCTGCCTCTGCCTCTCCCTCTCCAGTGCTGGGATTAAAGGAGTGCACCACCATCACCTGGTTTATTTATTTTTAATGTGATAAGTATTTTGCCTGCTTGTATGTCTGTGCCTTGTGCCTGATGCCCTCAGAGGCCAGAAAAGGGTGTCAGATGCCCTGAACCTAGTGCTACAGACAGTTGTTAGCTGTCTTGTGGGTATTAAGAATCAAAACCCAGTCCTCTGGAAGAGCAGCCATCCAGAGAGTAGCTGGTGCTCTTAACCACTGAGCCATCTCTCTAGCTCTGCCTGACTGGACTTGGTTTCTCTTATTTTATTTGCCATGGAAGCATTCATGCTATCAACAATATTCTATGGATCTGATGCCCCAATTTCTCTATAAATAATGAAATCCATTTGCTTTTTATACAGTTTTTTCCTGGGATTCATCAACGATCACGGGGGTAGACATACTCTTTGTTTCAATTCTGGGCACAAGGAATGCAGCAGGAGGGACAGGCGTGACCAAAGGCAAGGGGCAGGTTCTCTTTCTGGGCTGTCCAAAGAAATTCAGTGGCTTTTGCTAAATGACTCCTTGTTATCATCTGGTAGGATTTCCACAGGTTTGGGCATGCTGCAGTTTGTGCTAGTATCTCTTCGGGAAGACTGCAGTTTGTGTTGCTATCTCTGTGGGAAGACTGGCTGGTTCTGAGATGATGAACTTGACTCTAGGGTGGAGAAGTTCTGGTGATCTCTCTGTCCCTTATCTCTTCAAAGCCAGTAGATTGTGCTTCCCATGGTGGAAGAAGGTCCCATGAAGTCTTATTAGAGCAAGAGGAGGTGGGTAGAAGTATATTAGGGACCCTCTGAGTGACATCATTATGCATTTCAATGCCTTTCACCTTCCTTAGCTATATTGCTTGTTTGATTTGGTGACATTGGAAAGCCGTTTCCTTTTCACAGGACCTGACAGGAGATGAAGATGAAAGTGGAGATGTCGAGGTGGAGGGCAGCAGTGGCTCTTGCAGTCCAGCGATGCCCAAATTCTTCTGGGAGACCAGGACACCCTCTAAAACCCCAGCAGTAAGTTCTCTCTTGCAAAGCCCCGGCGTTTCTCACTGCTCAGGCCTGCGTAGGTAGTTCAGCAAGTCTTTGCCCCATGCCTGTCAGATCAGCCGGGCAGTGGTGACACACACTCTTAATCCCAGCACCCAGGAGGCAGAGGCAGGCAGATCCCTGTGAGTTTGAGGCCAGCCTGGTCTCCAGAGTGAGTTCCAGGACAGGCTCCAAAGCTACACAGAGAAACCCTGTCGCGAAAAACCAAAAAGATGAAAAAAAAACTATATCAAATCTTTAAAAAGCTGTTTCTACTTTTATTCATATGTCACTATGTGCATGCCATACATGTGCCTGTGCTCAGAGGCCAGAGGAGGGTCTGGGATCCCCTGGAGACGGAGTTACAGGCAGTGTAAGCCCACATGAGGAGGGTGCCTAGAACTGAACTCAAGTCCTCTGGAAGAGCAGTAAAGATTTCGAGTGCTGAGCCGTCGCTCCAGTCCCAATCTTTCTGTTAACTAACTCCAGGTCTATTTCATTAAAAACAACAAACAAACAAATACAGCTACAGGACAAGGTCTGCCTCTGTCTCCTGAGCGTTAGGTAGGATCCTAAGCCTATGGCTTCCCTCTTGGCCTGTACTTATTGGAATTATGTTGAGGAGGCAAGAATTCCCATGGCCCAGTTTTGATCCACCTTGGAGCTGAGCTGAAAGCCACTGGCATTCATCACCCCTCTCTCTGTGCTTTTCATGCTGGCTTGAGGCAACCCCAGAAGGTCCAGCACATTCTACTTCTGTTTCCAGATGCACAGGAGCCAGTTTCCCAGAGACTCCACCCTCCCTGAGCTCAGCTCACAGCCTCTGGTCATGACCTGTCATTGTTCTCTCATCCTTATTCTGTTTCTGCTCTGCCTTGGGATCAATGATCGCCGGCTCTTGTTCTTATAGAACAAAAGGGTCCCAGTTTGTTTCTTCACTCTTGCTTGCATGGGACCTGATGGAGGGAAGCTGTTCCTATACACCCCCACCTGCTTTGTTTTTCTTGCCCCCCCCCTTTTTTTTTTTTTTTTTTTTTTTTTTTTTTTCTGTCTACAGTCCCTGAGTTGGCAAGCAACCACTTCAGCAAGCACACCGTGGCTGTTCCCTACCAGCCCTTACCCAACCATTGACCTCACAGATGAAGAAGTGATACTCCAGAGCATCAGTACCCCACTGGTTGACTTGAGCCAGGACAGCCATCAGGAAAGCATGGATACCACACAGGTAGATGTGGGAAGCAGAGATGAAGATACCACCAAGTATCAGGTACCACTGAGAAGGGATTCTGCCTGTCTTAGGGTTTCTATTGCTGCGAAGGGGCACCATGACCAAAGCAACTCTTATAAAGGAAACCATTTAATTGGGGTGGCTTACAGTTTTAGAGCTTTAGTCCATTATCATCACAGTGGGACATGGCATGCAGGCAGACATGGTGCTGGAAAAGGAAATGAGAGTTCTACATCTTGATACACAGGCAACAGGAAGTGAACCGTGACACTGGGTGTAGCTTGAGCATGGCAGCCCTAAAGCCCCCCCCCCCCAGTGATACACTTCCTCCAACAAGGCCACACCCACTCCAACAAAGCCACACCTCCTAATAGTGCCACTCCCTATGAGCTTATGGGGACCAAGTACATTCAAACTGCCCTAAACCCCTGTATATAGGGAAGAGATAACAGTTATATTGTGACCAGCCACTCTGATTGTTGTCTGTTTTTGTTTGTTTTGTTCTTTGAGACAGGATATCTCTGTGTAACAGACCTGGTTGTCCTGGATCTCTCTTTGTAGACCAGACTGGCCTTGAACTCACAAAGATCAACCTGCCTCTGTCTCCCAAATGCTGGGATTAAAGGTGTGTGACATCACGCCCAGTAATTGTTGTCATTTTATCATACATTACAATGAAATATTTTCCAAATGCAACATGGCCCTTCCTTTGCCCTACTCCCGGACACCAACATGAACAGTGTTCTCTCTCTCTCTGTCTCTCTCTCTCTCCATGTGCCCATGTGCATATGTGTAGTGTATGCATGTACACGTAGAAGCCAGAGGTTGACATCAGATGTTTCCCCAATCATTTCTCCACCTGTTATTATTGTGTGTTTGTGTGCATGTGGACGTGCACATGTGTACATGCCGTAGTGTGTGTAGACGGCAGAGCACAGTCTCACGTGTCAGTGTGTACATGTCATAGTGTGTGTAGACGGCAGAGCACAGTCTCACGTGTCAGTCCTTGGCTCCTTGGCTCCCACTGTGCTTTGAGATGTGGTCTCCCGCTGTTTGTCACTTTGTGAGACAGGCATTAGCCCCCAGGCTTCAAAGGCTTCTCCTGTGTCTACTTCTCTCATGTCCTAGGTTATATAACTGAAATGCATTATTGCATGTAGCTTTAAATGGGCTCTGAACTCTGGTGCTCCCACTTGCACGGCAAGTGCTTTATCCAATGGGCCCTCAACCCCACTTTATTTTGTTTTTATTACATGAAGAATTTCATTTAATTAAAAATTTTATTTTATGCATGTGGATGTTTTGCCTGCATGCATGTGTGTACCATGTACATGCCAGGTGCCCTCAGAGACCAAAAGAGAGTGTTAGATCCCCTAGAACTGGAGTTACAGACAGTTATGAGTCACCGCCTGGGTCTTCTGGAAGAACAACCTGTGCTCTTAACCACTAAGAAATCTCTCCAGCCCTGTCCACCTTATTTTTTGAGACAGTGTCTCTCACTGGCACAGGGCTCATCAACTGGAATACATTGGTTGGCCAGGAAGCTCCAGGGATCCTTCAGTTTGCGCCTCCTCAGTGCTGGGATCCCAGGCACACGCCAGCACAACCAGCTTTTGGTGTGGGTGCTGGGTATCCATGTGGCAAGCACTTCACCAATGGAACCATTGCCTCAGCCCCATGGACACTGTTTTCTGAATGTTGTTTTCTTTCTCGCACATAGAATAAAGAACATTCTGTTCATATGCAGACATGTAGCCTGGTTTTTGCCACTTGAGCACTAGGGTGGGCTCACTTTCAAGCATCTGTCATGCACCCAGGGGTCTGGAGCGTCATTGAGTCAACTGATGAGTTTGTATGTATGCATGGCTGCATGGTGCCTTCCTGCACATGGCTATCTCCTGGGGGAAGTCTTTCCCATGCGTGTTACTTCACACTCCTTTGCGCTGTAGCTTTGTGATTTTGTTTGCTTTTGTTTTGAGACAGGGTCTCACTATATAGGTGTCCTTCCTAACTGACTGGAACTCACTATGTAACCCAGGCTGGCCTTGAACTCACAGAGGTCCATCAGCCTCTCTCTCCTGAGTGCTGGGATTAAAAGCTTGTCCACCATGCCCAGTTTTTTTTTTTTTTTTTTGTAATTAAGTAGTGTGGGAGTTAATTAGCAAAAGATTTAGCGTAGGTTTAAGCAGACTTTCGTGGAATGAATGGGCACAGATTTCTTGAGAGCCACTCTAGCTGTCCTTTCACAATTTTTAACATGTTATTGATTATTTGAGGATTTCATAATACACGAAATGTCGTTTGATCATATTTGCCCTCTCCTCCTCCCCTTCTTCTAGATCATCCCACACTCACCACCTGCCCCAACTGTGTGTCTTTCCTTTTTTTGTTTTTAACAATCTAATTAATCCAACTTTTGCTGCCCATATACTCCTGGGTGTGGGGCTATCTACAGGAGTGTGGCAGTTGACCTACTAGGGACCACATTTTTTTTCCTTTTTTTTTTTTTTTGAGATAGGGTTTGTTCTGGAACTCACCTTGTAGACCAGGCTGGCCTCCAACTCATGGAGATCCACCTGCCTCGGCCTCCCGAGTGCTGGGATTAAAGGCATTTGTGTGCTGCCACCAACACCACCACCACCCAGCTTAAATTCACACTCTAAAGAAAGCTGACTCTTCCTCCCCAAGAAGCTGACACCTGTTGGTGGCTCCTCAGTTAGGGATGGGGGCTCCCGAGCCTCTCCTGCCTCCATTTGAGAAGGTTGATTGCTTGCTCTTGTGCTGTGAGTTCATGAGTGCTGTGAGACTCACGGTCTGAAGACACTGCTTTACTGCAGTCCTTCCCAGAGTGTCACCATCTCTCCACCCCTCCCACAGCGGTCGCTGAGCCTGGTAAGGAGAGGCACTTGTTGGTGTATGCATCAATAATTTATTTCTCCTGGGCATCTTTTTTTTTTCTATGATTTGGGTGGATCCAAGGCTTCCCTTATGCTAGGTATGTGTTGTACCACTGAACTGTACCTCAAATCAGCATCTTGGGTTTTATGGAGAGTTTTTTCTCACTCTCAGGTAAATAGGGTTTTGTGATTTTGCCGGGGTCATCTGTTTTTGCTATTGGTATTCCTTCAAGTGAGTTTTTTTTTTCCAGGATGAGAAGGAGTTTGGAATAGGTGACCTTGTATTGGAAAAGGCTGAGGGCTTCTGCTGGTGGCCTGTCATGGAAGTGTTCTGGAAAGCCACCTTCCAGCTCCAGGCCATGCTTCACATGCAGTGGGGACAGTGGTTTGGTGATGGCAAGTTTTCTGGGAGAGCTCAGGGCAAGGCAGTTTTGGGGGTCTGCAGACCTGAGGGCTGGCTTCCCTGCTGGGGTTGCTCTGAGGACAGATTACTTTCTGCCAACGGACACATTAAACTTTGGCACTGGGTCTGGACAAGTGCTTCCTCAGTTACTTCCCTGAAATCAACTCTTGGTAGCTTGCAGGATCAGAGACAAGTCTACTCTTGAAAAGAGTAAAAGGTTAGAAAGTTCTGAACTCAGAGCCCCATGATTTAAATTCTTTTGATAATTGCTTCTTTGGGGTCAGAGTCACAATTATGGGCCCTGAGAGAACAGGAACAGCCAGGCATACACCCATGAATTTAGTAAGAAGCCTGGGACAGACAAGAGAGATAGGCTCTGTCTCTTAATATCATTTAGTCAGGGGGAGAGGGGAGAGGCCATGGCTGAGCCTGGAGTGAGACAGACTCTATCAGTGAGCCACTCCATTAGACCCTATTTTGATTTTTAGACACCTGTTGAGCAAATGGTCAGAGATCTGCAAAGATTTGGAACTGAAGGATGTGGATAGAATGGTTTTCCTGTAATGGTCTCCTGGGCTGTTAGTCAGTGTCAGACCAACTCACAGCATAAGAGACAGGGTGCACGGAATGGGGCAGGGCAGAAGCACATGGGAAACTATTAAGACCATTGCTGGGGAGGGGGAGGGTGGTGCTGGAGAGCTGGCTCAGAGAGGTCCTGAGTTCAATTCCCAGCAACCACATGGTGGCTTACAGCCATGTAATGAGATCTGGTGCCCTCTTCTGGCCTGCAAGTATATATGCAGGCAGAACACTGTCTAATTAATAAATAAATCCTAAAAAAATTAAAAAAAAAAACCTAAAAAAAAAAAAAAAAAAAAGAAAGAAAGAAATTGCTGGTTGGGGTAGGGTAGGGGAGGCTGGAGAGATGGCTCGCTGTCAGTTAAGCACACTTGATGTTCTTCCAGAGGTTTAGTGCTCAGAACACACTGGGCAGCTCACAACCTCCTGCAACGCTAGCTCCAGGGTATCTGATGACACCGTTTTCTGAGTTTTGAATGCATTAGCACACATGTGGCATATACTCACATGGACAAATATGCATGAACAATTATAAGTCCTTTCGAACGTTATTAGGGTTCAGTCTCAATTTGAGGTTCTGGTTTTCTCATGAATTACGTTCCCTTGGGGCCATTTCCACACATAAAATTTCCTAAGAGGAATATCAAATCTGAGGAACTTCATGCAGTTGTGCTTTGTGACCAGCAGAGGGCAGAAAAGGATAAGTGTCCGGGGCCTATGCTGGCACTGAAGCATCACACCCCAGGATAAGTGCACAATGACTTGTGTGGCCTAGAAGAGGGATGCTGGCTATATCTAGTGAGACATGACATATTAATTTCTAGACAGGGTCAGATGGCAATAAGATGCAGTATGGTGAGAGAAGATTATGGGATAGGATTACAATGTGCTATGGTTCTAGGGCTGGAGAGATGACTCAGTGGTTAAGAGCTCTGACTGTTCTTTCAGAGGAACTGGGTTCAATTCCCAGCACCCACATGGTGGCTCACAGCTGTCTGTAACTACAGTTCCAGGGAATCTGACACCTTCACACCAATGCACATAAAATAAAGTTAAATAAATTATAAAAAAACAAGCCAGGCAATGGTGGCATAAGCCTTTAGTCCCAGAACTCGGGAGGCAGAGGCAGGTAGATCTCTGTGAGTTCAAGACCAGCCTGGTCTATAAGAGCTAGTTCCAGGACAGCCTCCAAAGCCACAGAGAAACCCTGTCTTGAATATATATATATATATATATATATATATGCAAGCAAAAAACCACAGTGTGCTATGGTCCTGGCCAAAGTCCAAGACCTGCCCAGAACCTACCTAGTATCTACTGTGTTCTGCTCATGTTGGCTAGAGTAGCTGGCATTTCCTTGTCACCCATGGTGGCCACACCTCAGAGTTGAGGCTCTGAGCATAAGATGGGTGTGAGTGTGAAAGTGAGCATTGCATGCTGGGACATGCCATTTGTCCTCCAATTGTGAAAAGCAGCCTGGAACATCTGTGTTAGCTTCCCCCTCACTAGGAATGCCACCCCACAACTTTTCTTCATTGTCTGGGGACTTGAGACATGCAACTTATCATTCATGATCAAGCCTCACAGTCCTTGTGAGTAGTAAGAGCTCTTGCTGTGCCAAGCATGCTCTCTGAACCTGTGTACGATGGGAACTCATGGAACGAGAATCTGAAGACTCAGTAGCTGTCCTCACACTCAGGAAGGGCAAAGAGCCTGCACAATATACATTTAAGCCAGTTTCAGGACTGAGTCTCATGACCGTACCAGTGACACTGACTGTTCATACATGTGTGCACAGTGAGCATGTATGACCATGCGAACACAGATGGGATATATCTTACTGTGCCAGTTCTGAGCTTCATTCTCTCTCACATTTGGAGTATCATGTGTCCTTGTTTCAGGCTCTACGATATGTGCTATATACTGTCCCCTTTTGGTTTTGGCATCTGTGAACCATCCCAGGAATAGGTCCTGGATGAACAAGTATACTTGCAGGTAGATATTGGTGATACCTTTCTCTACTAGGTCTCTGCTGACAAACTGGTGACCTTTGGCTGACTGTTCAGCCAGCATTATAACCTGTACCCCTTCAATAAGCTGTTTTCTGTTTTATTTTTATTTATTTATTTTTATTTTTTTTTTTCGGGTAGCCCTAGCTGTCCTGGAACTAACTCTGTAGACCAGGTTGTCTTCAAACTCAGAGATCCGCAAGTCTCTGCCTCCTGAGTGCTGGGATTAAAGGCGGGTGCCACCACCACAAGGTTATAAGATGGTTTCTTATAGGAAGGTCACATACCACACTCGGAGGTAACAAAGGTGTAGGAATGAGGTCTTGATTTTAAGAGCTGGGAGGAAGGGAGAGCCATTAGACAACTGCTCACACTATTGTGTTGCCAAGGTTGGCTTGGAGGAGACAGGGATACCACGGAGGTGGTGAATGCCAAAGACAGAGGGCTTGCTTGGGAAAGGAATTTGAATTGTGCCAAGGTCACTAGAGAGTTTCTGGTACTGCCAGCTAGACTGGGAAAGATGATTGCTGCCTTGTGGGTTTTTCATGTGGAGAATGGGCTGGATAGCTGTGCTTTCAGTTTCAAAGGAGTGAGTTTATTGAGTAGCAAGCAAAAGTAAAAGAACAAATAGCAAGCATCAGATAGACACAGCAGGTAGACAGAAAAACAGCAACATATCTGATGCTTATAATATCCAGTCAGCTGGAGTAGCCCAACTGGGAGAGCAAGCAGAAGAAATGTCATCAAATCACCAAAGAAATGATGCAGGAAGACCTGCTGATAGCATCAAGAAGCCAGACTTCTTGATTAAGAGAAAAATCTCATCTTTATGGACAAGCTTCTGCCCCTTCATCCCACCTGCCGTTATTTTTACTCCGGGGGATAAACCATGTAGCCCCTGTTGAAAACGGTTTTACCTTCTAGCTGTTCTCAAGGGTGTGATATTTGTATTGCCCTCAGCTGTTTGCTGTTCTCCTTTGTCCCTGTTACAGTGTTTTATGGACCCAGCTTGCCCAGGACAGGGATTTTTGGAAGACACTTGAAATAAATATGTTTGAGTCTGAGACAGGGGCGGGCAATTCATTTCCTGCGCCAGCTTTCAGTGAGCTTAAGCAGCACATGACAATTGACCAGTATAATGTATGTCACAGGGGCAATATGACAGAGTAGAATAGGCTGCCCCAGAGATGGCTGAGCTTTCTTTCTTCAAGTGGGGTCCTTCAAAGCCTAGAGGAGGCAGCTGAGGCCTGTTGCCTCCTTCCCTTGCCTGTAGACTCGATCTCCTCTGAGCCATTAGGTTTCCCACTGCTTGCCTCCAGCCCCTACCAGCCTGCCCCACTTGGCCAAGTGCCTAATTAGCATGTAAATTGGCATTGCCCTTAAAGAATGCTTGACTACGTTCACATCTTCTTAGGGAAGACACAGCAAGAAGTCTGCTGCCTGAGACAAGCTACAGAGGGTAAGGTAAAATTGCCTGAAGCGCCTGCATTTTAGTGAAAAAGCTGAGTTGAAACCCTCCCTTGGGAGAGAGCTGGCCACTCTCTGATTCTGAAGGGAAGAGGTCATATGTAGTGCCTGTCCCGATGGTCTGTTGTTTCCTTACCAGTCCCTCAAAAGCAGGCCCCTGTCACATAACAAAGCCAAGGACAGCTGTGCATCTCTGAAAGACACCAGTGTTTAGGGAATGCAGGCCCCAGCAGGAGGAATCCCTGGGTTCACCCTGGCACATACCTCATTCGCTCGCTCCCATTCATGGACAGACTTTGCCTTTATTTGTGTCTTGGCAGAGAGCCAGGGTGCGAGCTGGCAAGACCTTCCCTAGTAGCCCCGGAGACTCACTGGAGGACAAGCTGAAGCCCATGCTGGAGTGGGCCCACGGGGGCTTCAAGCCCATTGGCATCGAGGGCCTCAAACCAAACAAGCAACCAGGTGGGGATGAATGGTGCAGGCAGTAGGAACTTCGAACCCGGGAGACACGGTATTCCCTTACCATCTTTGAGTTCTGTTTTCTTTGCTCTGTCCTGCAATTTCTTGGCATCTACAGTGCTCACTGGAGAAGAATCAAGTCTTCTAAGCTGAGCTGAGTCACTCATCCTCACAAATGACCCTCAGGCTAACCATGAGTGCATATTTCAGTCTCCTATAATTTTAGGACTCCTGCCTTCCTTTTTATTCCTTAGTATTAATGGCATATATAAGCATTGGCAAATGTCACTCTGTCATCAAAGGCTCCTTGTGTTTCTGTTTTCTGAGACAACAGTCTCACTTTGTAGTCCTGTCTGGTCTCATGCTGGGATTGCAAGCATGTGTCACCACATCTGACTCCTTATGACTTTTGATGAGTATCTGATTTTCTTTCCTAGTATGTGAGAATGGGCAAGAGTCAGATTCAACCATGTCCACTGTGATTCAATAGATCCAATAAAAGTATAAATAAACGTTAATGAGTGGGAACCCCAGAATGTAACTTAATTATTTTTTCATAAAAAGTATTATATGGGATCGTGTGAAATTAATGTTAACCATACATTTTGACCTAATATTTTAAAAACTTAGCATTTAAACATTTAGTCTATACAAAACTTTGAGATGGTTCACTTTTCTCTTAGTACTGTCCTAAAAATTAATACCATTAAGTGAAAGTTAAACTGAAATTGATTAATGAATACATGCTAATTTCATAAATTGTCTAAGTAGATTCCAGGGTTCAAGTCAGTCGAAATTAACCAAACCAGTAGCATCATTTGAAGATTTGGACCTGACCCCTAGTGTGAAATCCTGTCCCTCCTGACATTTCAAATAGCTCCCTGCTGCCATTGAGCATTGTGGTGGGCATCACTGTAGGAACCTCAGAGTTCCAGCTGTGGCTCAGCATGTGCTCTGGGCTCACTCTAGAAGGATGGATTCTCTTACACATTCAGATGTGTAAACCCCATGAACATGAGTCTGGCCTGCTTCCTGGGTGAGAGGAGCTCTGAATTGGCTTCTGCTCTGGGCTACCCTCTGGGGTTCTACACCCACCCCATCATGGCCCCTGCTCTAGATGCAGCTGGATCCCAGGCCAAGCATGGTCTTGTCTGAGGCCCGCTTTGTCTCTTAGACCTTCAGTCAAATGCGTCTCCTTACCTTTCAGAGAACAAAAGTCGAAGAGGCACAACCAACAACGACTCTGCAGCTTCTGAGTCCTATCCCCCTCCCAAGCGCCTCAAGACCAACAGCTACGGTGGGAAAGACCGAGGGCAGGATGATGAGAGCCGAGGTGATTTGGGGTCGGGTGCTGAAAGGCCTGGCCATGCATGGTGCATATCAGGAGCAGCAGGTCTGCAGAGGTGCATGGCTGCGTGGGAAAGGAGGGACTTCCCCACCTCGTCTCACACCTTGTCCCTCTTTCCTCAACAGAACAGATGGCTTCTGATGTCACCAACAACAAGGGCAATCTGGAAGGTACTGTTGTCCCCCGGCACTTCCTTCTGGGGTGCCCCAGGCCTGTCTTAGCCTGGCTTTGACCTTCTGCATGGGTTCAATACAGAGCCCTGGGGACTGACCTAGATCAGGACCATTTCTGCTCCTTATGTATTTGTTTCTATGTTTTTTGGATCAAGTGTTATGATTTGCTTCCATTCTTAACCGAATGTGATGTAGCCATTGACCAGGGTGACTGGAGTGGGGGAACAATGAAATCTGTGACACTTTGGCCAATACCTAAAAACTCCAGATCAAGGGAACCTTGAACTTTCCACTCAATAAGCACAGCTAACTTGTAGGTTAAAAGAAGACACATTTTACCATTGGTTCCTCCTTGAGCAAACTCTGCTGTCCTTTCCTCAGCTGGGTACTGCTCTGGGATTCAGGAATCTTCCAAGAACAGACATAATGGAGTTTGAATATGTGATGGACTCTTCATTTGCATTCTTGGCCCAATGTGCCTTAATCTTCAAATATTTATCAAGTAGTCACTCATTATTGGGTTAGAAAACAGACCTGGATTCAGGGTACACTGGAAAAGCTGAAGTTTAGAGCAATATCTACAATTTAGAAACTGGTGTGTGTGTGTGTGTGTGTGTGTGTGTGGTTTTAGAGATAGAGTTTCTCTTCGCAGCCTTGGCTGTCCTAGAACTCACAGAGATCTGACTGCCTTTGCTGGGATTAAAGGTTTGTGCCACCACCACCTGGCTAATTTAGGAACTTTTGACCTATGGTCCTCCATATATCCCAAGAGTCATCCACTGTTTGTCCCTTCCCCCCAGTGGGACAGTATTGGCCATTTAAAGGTTTTGTTCTCTTGAATAGTTAATCAGTTTATAGCCAAGGCAGTGTGGCCTCAAGGTAAAAAAACAAAAACAAAAACAAAACAAAACAACCAAACAAACAAAAAACCAAGCTCTGGGATGGTAGTCTGTGATTGGCATGTTTGCAGGGAGGTTCTGTATTTGCTACCAAGCCAATCAGAATCACTACCAGTGCCTCAATGTCTGAGATTTGATGTTTATGAAAATGGAGATGTCAAACAGAAAACAATATTTAGCCTCTTCTTCTGCCTGCCTAGGCCTTGGCCTCCCTGTGCTTCTTTTTGTTAGTTGGAAGCTGTCTTTCCCAGACTATGAAGTGGAGATGGCTCTTTAAACACAGTTGAGTCTATGGCCAACCACCTGAACACACCATATATCATCTGAAATGCTGCTGGAAGGAGTTAGGCACTAGACATGGTACAAAGTCCTTGGCACATGGCTGGCATGGAGCCGATGCTCAGAACTATCAGGCTGAAGGCTTGAGCTGCTGATCTCCTTAGTCCCTTGATCTCCTTAGACTCTGACACCCTGTCTTTCTCTCAGACCGCTGCTTGTCCTGTGGTAGGAAGAACCCTGTATCCTTCCATCCCCTCTTTGAGGGTGGGCTCTGTCAGAGTTGCCGGGTAAGTCTTCCTGCCCCTTCCCCTGCCACACCCTTCCCCAGACAGGCCCCCAGCACAGTCCCTGCTCCAGGCGCTAGTGAACAGCTTCCCAGGGCACATCCCCCCACACCCTTCCTGTTTGGGGACAGGTGCTGCAGCAGAGAAGGCCCTCCCTCCATAAGGCACTCAGCTCACATGGACTATGGGGGAAGGGCACCCGGGCCACCAGCTTAGGGCCCCAGACAGCTTGCTAGCCAGACCTGACTGAGGCCAGGACTATGGTCTCATGGTGTTTCTCTCTGGCTGTCAGGATCGCTTCCTGGAGCTGTTCTACATGTACGATGAGGACGGCTATCAGTCCTACTGCACTGTGTGCTGCAAGGGCCGCGAGCTGCTTCTGTGCAGCAACACAAGCTGCTGCAGGTGAGTGTCCTTCCGTGGGGGCTGGACGAGAGGGTCTAGGGTCCCCGGGTGTACCCCACCGTTCCTGCAGCCTGTAGGCAGCTAAAATCCATAGAAAATGAGCACCCAGTGGCTATTCTGTGGGCTCTGGTGGGCATGGGCATGGCCTTGGGTCAGGTGTGCCTGTGAGATCAGCCCTGGGAGGTTTGTGTTGAAAGGGTCTAGATTTGTAGGGAGTGTGAAGGACCCACATTCAAGAAGTGGTTTGTTACCCTATATCTCAAAGCATGTGGAGGCAGGAGGCTGAGCATCAGGCAGGGGTGGTCATGCCCTGGGGAACTAACTGGACCCGCAGGGCAAATGTCTGCTAACCGTGATCCCGTTCTCTCTGGATACTCTGGCACAGGTGCTTCTGTGTGGAGTGTCTGGAGGTGCTGGTGGGTACAGGGACAGCTGAGGATGCCAAGCTGCAGGAACCCTGGAGCTGCTATATGTGCCTTCCACAGCGCTGCCATGGGGTCCTCAGGCGCAGGAAGGATTGGAACATGCGCCTGCAAGACTTCTTCACTTCTGATCCTGACCTCGAAGAATTCGTAAGCCCTATAGAGCCTCTGTTTAGTCCCTTGCAATTGCAGTCCCTGAGAATCTGGATTCCTGTGCATCTGTCAAAGCAAGAGTTAGGCCTTTCATCTCAGGATGTAGGAGACAAGCAGTCATATGGCTGAGTTCAATGACAGCCTGGTCAGTCAAGTGACTTCCCGGCCAGTCAAGGCTACTTATATACTGAGATTCTGTGTCAAAACAGCCCCCAAAAGTTATAGTACCAGGCATAGTGACAGCACAGATATCTGAGCCATGAGCTTTGTGATGAGTTTAAGGGCAGCCTGTGTTAAATAGTGAGGTCAAGGCCAGCTGGGAATGTGCAGCAAGAATCCATTTCTGCTATACCATCTGTACCTCACAGAGCCCGTGCCAGAGGCTAAGAGCCCTTGCTAGTCAACACCTCTAGCAGACAATTCTCCCTTCCAGTACCTTCTGAGGAGGGAACAGGATGGAAACATCCCAGCGTGAGGGTGACAAGGGCAGCTGCTCCCACAATGTAGGAGTTGATCTTCTGTTCTCAGGCCTTGGCCGTTAGCGGTCAAGCTCCTGATCTGGCTCTATGCGTCTGTAGGAGGCAGCTGTGCCTCCTATCTAAGGACAGAATGGCCAGCCTGTGCCCAGTGATCTCTTACCAGTTCCCATGGATGCTTCTGAGTACAGGAGGATAGATGCACACTCTGAGACATCACTCTCTTTACTTATCTGGCAGGAGCCACCCAAGTTGTACCCAGCAATTCCTGCAGCCAAGAGGAGACCTATTAGAGTCCTGTCCTTGTTTGATGGAATTGCAACAGGTGAGTAGAGGCTTATCTGAGCATGCTCTGTTAGGCCAATGGAAGAATCTTCTAGACGGGCTGAAGGTGTGTCTCCCATGATAATTGAGAAGAGTAGTAGCTAGGATGTCATGTGTGTGTCCTTTCTTCAACTTTTCCTTCTATATGAATAAATAACTAGGGACAATTAGGCAACAGCTGCCTTCCTCAATCCTGGTTCCTTCCCTTTTTGTGAGCTGTCCCATACATAGAAGGAATGAACATAGCCAATACTGGCAATGTTCTGAGGTCCCCGGAGTCGACACAGACACCCTGAAGTGACAGTGATGTAGTAAGGGGTTCTTCAGTGTGCTTCAGGAGGACACCGTGGCTGGGACTGATGGCTCTGCGCTTGGCCTCTTGTCCTCACATTTCTGTTTGATCCCTCACAGGGTACTTGGTGCTCAAAGAGCTGGGTATCAAAGTGGAAAAGTATGTTGCATCCGAAGTGTGTACAGAGTCCATTGCTGTGGGAACTGTTAAGCATGAAGGTCAAATCAAATATGTGGATGACGTCAGGAACATCACAAAGGGAAATGTGAGGGCGGCATTTTTTCCTGGGGTTCATTTTGCTTGTTCCTCTCTATCTTGAATCTTGGTCTCAGGGCATGCTATCCCTTTCTCTGAGTCCCAGGGTTGTGAATAGAAGAGAACCAGAGACATTTCAGAAAAAGTGACATAATAGGAATAATTCAGAACTTTTGGTAGAATGTGAGCATTCAGGCTCCATGTATTGGAACTGGAGTTGCCAATGGAGCAAGTTTCTAGAACTGTGTTTTCTTAGCAACTTCTCTAAGAACCTAAGTTTTCTTTATTTTAAATTAAAAATTTTCATCATCATTTGTGTGTGTGTGTGTGTGTGTGTGTGTGTGTGTGTGTGTGTGTGCAGAAATGGATGGGGGTGCCAGTACCTGGCACGTGTGTGCAGATGACAGGACAATTTCATGTAGTCAGTCCTCTCCTTTCACCTTTACATGGGTTTTGGGGATCACACTCAGGTTGCCAGGCTTGCATGATAGGTACCTGAATCCTCCAAGCCATCTTGCCTACCCCAGAATCAAAGCTTCCGGTCCCTCCTCCCTCAGGCTCATCCCTGCCTTTTGTGTTTTCCCTCAGATTGATGAGTGGGGCCCATTCGACTTGGTGATTGGTGGAAGCCCTTGCAATGATCTCTCCTGTGTGAATCCTGGCAGGAAAGGGCTGTTTGGTAAGCAGCCATTTGTTTTGGCTCACAAAGGTCCTTCCATACCTGAGGACTGGTCCATGTGGGGTGGCAGAGAAGAAGCTGTTGGCTTCTGTTCATTCTTGTTTAGCACCTTGGTCCTTAAGCACTGTCTGTGCTCTTTGCAAATTCTCAGCCCTCAGAGAAAGATGCCAGTGAATGGTGTTCTACTGCTCCCTGTGCCCTTGCCTGGTCTTCTAGGGGACTAGGGGAGTTGGGATGTGAGGACATTGGCTTTACTGATGAGGCTTATTGGTATTCTCTTGGTCTCAGGGAATGCAGAGGCTGAAACTGAAGCTTTGCTCAAATTCTGTTCTCTGATGTTCTTTTATGGATGCAGAGGGCACTGGTCGGCTCTTCTTTGAATTTTATCGATTGCTAAATTACGCACGTCCCGAGGAGTGTGATAACCGCCCATTCTTCTGGATGTTTGAGAATGTGGTAGCTATGGAGGTTGGTGACAAGAGGGACATCTCACTATTCCTGGAGGTGAGTGGCCTGAGTGTCAAGACTACTTGGGTCAGGGAGACCACATTGGCATTGAAGGTTCCTGAGTGTGGACAGCTGGGAATGGTTCCCCGGTTTGTGACTAGATCTGGGGAGGGAGGGTACAGCACACTTGTGAGTGCATGGGAGGCATTTGTCACTAACATAATCCTGCCTGTGCAAGGCACTAAGAATGACACTAACCTCTACTTTTACTTTAGACAGTTCCTTGTTTCCTCTTTCTTCTGAAAATGGTAGCTTTAGGAGTTATAGAGAAGTTAACTATCCACCACTTGAATTACATCAAACACTGTAGTAAGTAGGTTTTTGGATTCCAGCTTCTTTCTTTCCTTTCCTTTTCTTCTTTTTTTCTTTCTTTTTTTTTTGAGACAGGGTTTCTCTGTGTAGCCCTGGCTGTCCTGGAACTTGATCTGTAGACCAGGCTGCTGGGATTAAAGGCATGTGTTTCCACTGCCCTTCTTCTTCTTCTTCTTCTTCTTCTCCTCCTCCTCCTCCTCCTCCTCCTCCACCTCTTCCTCCCCCTCCTTTTTCTTCTTCAAGATTTATATATTTCATGTATATGAGTACATATTACATGCCAGAGAGGGCATTGGGTCCCTTTATAGGCAGTTGTGGGCCACCATATGGTTATTGAGAATTAAACTCAGATCCTCTGAACAGCAGCCAGTGCTCTTAACCACTGAGCCCATTTCTCTAACCCCATGTTTGGTTTTTTTTTTTTTTTGTTTGTTTGTTTTCTTTTTTTCTTTTATTGGACAAAGTCTCATGTAGCCCAGGCTTTTCTTCAACTCTTGGTCTTCCTGTCTCCACATCTCAAGTGCCAGGATTATAGGTGTATACCAAGCCTGGACTGTTCCTTAGTTTTCTTTAGAATTTTACAATGTTGGCTTCAGAGGTGATAGAATTGGCTATTTTCCAACTGTCATATGTTACTTGTGACTGGGTGTCCTGAGCCATGCATTGCTCACACTGTCTGTCTGCAACTGGGATTTGACTTAGCAGATTTTGATGTGGAACACCTCTACCTTTGAGCACTCTGTCATTGACATGACTCAGAGTGGGCAGGTCTGATCTGACTTGTCACCCACCATTCATAGGCAGACATCAGCTGTCTTAGTCATTGTTGTGTTGCTGTGAGGAGACACCATGACATAGGCAACTCTAACAAAATAAACTAATTAGGTGCTTGATTGCAGTTTCAGAGGTGAAGTCCATTACTATCCCAGTGGGAAGCACGATGGCATACAGGCAGGCATGCTGCTGCTGAAGTAGATGAGGGTTCTGCATCCTGATCCTCAGGCAGCAGGAAGAGAGACAGCCAGGACCTGGCATGGGCTTTTGAAACCTCAAAATCTACCGCCAATGGCACACTTCCTCCAACGAGGCCACACCCCCTAATCCTTCTAATCCTTTTTTAAACAGTTCCACTTCCTGGTGACTAAGCTTTCAAATATATGAGCCTGTGAAAGCCACTCTTATTCAAACTATCACATTCTACTCTTTGCCCTACCCCCAGGTTTATAGTCATGTCATAATGCAAAATCATTCAGTCTAACTTCAAAAGTTCCCATAGTCTTTCACAGCCTCAATACTGTTTAAAAGTCAAACGTTCAAAATCCCTTTTGAGGCTCCTGGCAATCTCTTAAATGTAACCCCCTGTAAAAATCAAAATAAAAAAGCAGATCACATGCTTCCAACGTATAAAGGCACAGAATATACATTACTATTCCAAAAGAGAAGAAAGGAAACATAGTGAGAAAATACTGGACCACAGGAAACTGAAAACCAGCAGGGCAAGCTCCAAATTCCGCATCTCCACATCTGATGTGAAAGCACACTCCAGATCTCCAATTCCTTCCAGCTTTGTTGAATTCTCTGTTTTGGGCTGGTTTCATACTTGGTCTGCAGCTCTTTTTGGCAGGTATCCCATGGCTCTGCTTCTCCAACATCTTGGGATCTCCAACACTAGCAAGGCTTCACTTTCACAGCTTCACATAATGGCCTCTCTGGGCCTCTATGCAGGGACATTCCTGACCTGGCCTCAGTTGCTTTCCTTAGCCAAGGAGGAAGATTCCACAACCCCTTGTACTTTTGACTCATAAGCCAGAGCCATGTGAATGAAGTTCTGCTGCTTGGTGGGGCTGGAATTTGGGCCCCTTTTCCAATTACATTTACATCAGCTTTCTGTTGTTCATGGTTCCCTTCACTGCTTAAGCTTTTCTTTTATTTTTTGGTTTTTTGAGACAGGGTTTCTCTCTGTAGCTTTGGAGCCTGTCCTGGTACTTGCTCTGTAGACCAGGCTGGCCTTGAACTCATAGGGATCTGCTTTCCTCTGCCTCCCAAGGGCTAGGATTACAGGCATGTGCTACCACTGCCCTGTGCTTTTCTTTAATTCCTTTTCACAAGTTGGAAAAAAATGTTGGGTGGGTCTTGCCCTGAGGTTACCACTCCCCTTATTTCATTTAGCATCAGGCTTTAAACTTTTTATCTCCTTGAACACTGGACTTAGCGCCATTACAGTTTCTGGCACTCCTTTTCTCCTCAAACTGTACATTTTGTATTTCTTTTTATCCATCTTAGTCTTTTTCATTATAGATCTGCATAAGAATGATTACTGATAACCACACTCTCCAGTTATCCTGAAATCTCCTCTGTCAAAGCCCTTAGTCCAAAACTCTTCAGTTTAGCCACAGGCAGATTTTTAGGACAAGAGCAGAAAGCAGCCACATTCTTTGCCAAAGTATCACAAGAGTGGTGTCTAGGCCACTTACTAATACTCTTCCCCTTGGAAACTTCTTGAGCTAGGCTCACATTGCTCTCAGCATTACTGTCCAGGTTTCTACTAGTATGCTGCACTTTTAAGCTTTAGTGTTCAGCTGCTTTTCTATGCAAAGTCCCAAAGTCTACATTCTGCCAACAAACAGCATGGTCAGGTCTCTCGGAGCACCACCCAACTCCTGGTACTAACTTCTGTCTTGGTCACTGTTCTAATGCTATGAACACACATCAGCTCTGCTCCAGCCAGCCTCTAGATGGGAACTGGTCTGTCTCCTTGCCTCTGTGTAGCAAGGAAAGCCTTGTCACCTGACAGGTCAGACCTGGGCTGACTGACAGTCGAGTCTTGAGGTGTCTCCAACAGCTCCCTTTCTCTTCCTGCAGTGTAACCCAGTGATGATCGATGCCATCAAGGTTTCTGCTGCACATAGGGCCCGATATTTCTGGGGCAACCTACCTGGGATGAACAGGTAAGAGACCTGAGAGGGACAGGTAACAGACAGCAAAGTTATATACAAGTCTGACTGTATATATTCCCACCTTCTAGAAAGTCCTGGCTTTAGGATGCTCTGGATAACTGGAGCACTGGGCAGGTCTCCTTGGGTAGATGTTTTGCTCTAGCGGCAGGGTGGATATTTCTCAAGGTTCCCCTGATGACTGAGAACTGTAAAGCCTTCCCATTCTTCCTGCTGTGCTAAGTCTTCCATTGCAAATGTTAAATGTTAAAGAAACCATCCCTTCTGCCCCTGGGATGAAGTGGGCCCTGGAATAGGCAACTGATGACCAACAGAAGGCAGAGCTGAGGTGTGAAACAGTAGCACAGACGCTGGCTTCCTCCAGTTTTCTCAGTCAGGAATATATTCTGCCCTTAAATTTTATTTGAGATTATAATTTTTTAAATAATTTTTTAATTTGAATTAGAAACAAGATTGTTTTACATGACAATCCCAGTTCCCTTCTCCCTCACTTCCTCCCCTACCATCCTCCCAACTAAAACCCTACCTATCACACATCCTTTCTTCTGTAATTCCCCTGACTCAACCTTTCTGCTCCCTCACGACCTCTGCATCCCTCCTCTTCTTCCCTTCTCATTCTTGTAGCTCCCTCATCCCCTCTTCCCGTGCTCTCAATTTGTCAGGGGACCTTGACCCTTTCCCCTTCTCCAGGGGACCATGTATTGAGATTATAATTTAATTATAACATTCCTCCCTCCAAATCCTTCCTTAAACTCCTTCGTGCACTCCTGAAATTCATGGCCTTTCTTTTTATCAATTGTTAGTGTATACATACGTGTATCTGTCTACACATATATATTCCTAGATACAACCCGTTACGTCCATATAACCTACTTGTATGTTTTCAGGGCTGACTGTTTGGCACTAGACAACCACTTGGTGTGCTCTTCCCCGAAGAAGGCCACCCTTTCTGTTCCCAGCATTCCTGCGTTGCTCATGGTTCTTTGTGTAGGGTTGAGGCCACATGGGCTTTTCTTAGTCCACTTTGGCGTGTTCACTGGTGTTGTCCTTGTTCATCTCACATGTGTGTAGTCATACCCAGTGTTTAGTAGTCCTCAGGATTAGACACAAATCAAGTGGTTCTGCAGAGGCCTCCCTGTATCATCCTTTGTGATTTCAAGAACAGCTTGCTAACCAAGGTGTGAAATATGATTGTAGTGACCATCCCATATATGCAAGTGACCTAAGCTGTGAAGCACTTGCCGAAAAATGTGTCAGAAGCACAATTTTGGAAGTCTGGCAGAGTGTGGACAGAAGTCAGAGAGTCCTGGGACAGCTTGGAGATTTCTCTTAGACATTGTAAATTTTTTTTTTAAATTCAAATTTTAATATTGTTTTTACCCCTTGCATAGTTTCAATGTTTATTCCGTTAACCATCTAATCAAAAGGTACCATGTTCTTGTTTGGAATCACATGGGCTGATTTATTCACTATTCAAGCTCTCCCCGCCAAGCACTGTATTGCTGCCAGTTCAATGGGGGAACACAATGATGTCAGTGACTCTTGCAGAGTAGATGTATTGGTGGGAGGGGTAGGGAACACAGGGAGTAATTGTATATTCATGGTTGGGGAGGTGGCCTTGGAAAGTAGGGTGGGGAAAGGGAGAGGCCTCATTCAATAGAACTAAAGGAATGGAGCCAATCCAGGCAGAAGGGAGGGCTCTGGGATAGATGGTGGGCAGGCATCCCTAGGCCAGCTTGGAGATTAGTGTTCTTGGGTCAAGAGTGGCTTGAAAAGAGAGAGGCAGGTATCTCTGACTGGATGCTGCGGGCCTGATACATGATGCCACTTAGTTGTACATGGGGGTAAGACATTTCATAAATTAATTTAAGCAATTAAGGTATATGGTGTCTAGTAGAAGGAGAAGAGGCAGAGCTCAGAGGTGGGGACACTAGTGAGGTGGTGCATTGTGGAAGGAAGTGAGATATGACCAGCTATCACCAGGTGTCCCAGAAGGTGCCATCCAGCCAGAAAACAGATGAAGTTGGTGGCAGTGACCTCTGGAGTTTGTAGGCTGGCAGGGTATTTGAACACTTGTTTATGCATTTGGTGGCTTCCAGGCTAGGAGGATGGGCTGCTCTAAGTGGGCTCTGATGGGTGACAGAGTGGGTGTATGAAGTGTCAGGTGGGTTGAGGCCTGAGTCATCTAGTTTATGCAGATCTTTTCACATATATTCCTGGCTGGCCCAGGACTCCTTATGTAGATCAGGCTGGCCTTGAACTCACAAAGATTCTATTGCCTCTGCCTCCTTAGTGCTGGGATTAAGGGATGTGCCACCATGCTTGGTGTTTGTATAAATCTTAATCTTTGAATCTATATAACACCGGGCTTTCTATGTCCCCTTTCTCCTGGCCCCTCACCTCATTTAGGTTCATAGAGGACACAAAAGGGATAGGAAGTCAGTGAGGTGGCTCAGTGGGTAAAGGAACTTCCTGTACAAGCCTGATGGTCTAAGTTTGGTCCCCAGAACTCCCGTGAAGGTGGAAGGAGAGAACTGACTCTACAGAGTTGTCCTCTGACCTCCAAACATGCCCTGTGCCATGCCTGCCCACACACATCAAACACACAAACACACGTTAGTAATAAATACATCCTCAAAAGAAGAGTTACGGCTGGTATTGGACAGCGGAAAGGTGTGGTCAAGGGAAATTCTTGGTGTGATTCCTCAGCCTCTTTGTGGCACTCATTCTTTTTTTCTTTTTGACTTTGAAGCCCCTAACTGGGGCCACTACAGTGTTGATGACTCCTGCATGTGGATGTTGTGAAGACATCTGCTTCTAGCTCTTGCCCTGTCAGCTTGTTTGTCTCTGCATTTGCAAAACAGGTTGCCAGAGAGAAAGTGAAAGGTTTGACTGTCCTTCCTTTTGAGGATGGCATCCACTTAAAAGCCACTTAAACTTCATTTCCAAAGTGGGGGTTACTCATATGAAGATGACGCACCAACATTTAGACCACCGGTTCTCAACTTTTCTAATGCTGCGACCCTTTAATACAGTTTCTCATGCCGTGGTGACCCCAACCATAAAATTATTTTTGTAACTACTTCATAACTGTAAATTTGCAGCTGTTACAAACCATAGTGTAAATATGTGTTTTCAAATGGTCTTAGGCGACTCCTGTGAAAGGGTTGTCCACCCCCTAAAGCTCTGATCTAGACCGAGCTTCTCCGTCACATTGGCCTGGACTGCACAGGTCCCACTGTAGTGCTCCTATCCCTCTGTGGGAGCCTCACTTTGCCCAGTGCTAAAACCTAAAACTCAGAGAAACACTACCTCTGGGCTCTGGGCTGTACTTTTCAGGGACTAGTGGATTCTTGTTCTTACGGCACAGACTTGATGGATTTCATCCTGTGGCTGAACATGCTCACTGCCAGAGTACACTTGGGCAAAGCAGATTCTCTCCTCGTCTGACTTGCGAGGTCTCTAGCTTAGACCTCCAGGGCAGATGCTGGAGAGTAACGGGTTTTGGCTGTTCCCAGGCCTGTGATAGCTTCCAAGAATGATAAGCTCGAGCTGCAGGACTGCTTGGAGTTCAGTAGGACAGCAAAGGTAAGACGCTGAGTGGTCTATGCTGCACCTTCTGGAAAACTGTGACTTTGGCTCTATCCACGTGGCTCCCACTCATTCCCTCACAGACCCCTGGTGCTGGGCCTCTTTCCCCACAGAATTGTTCTGTCTCTTCTTCAAGTACAGAGTAGGAGATGTCCTTGGTAAATAATCCCCGTGAGACAATGTGACCGGGCTCTGCAGTGGTTAATGCTGGAGGCATAGAGGCTGTGCTGCAGGGAGTCTTTGCAGAGGCAACAGTGGCAGACGCTATTGCAAAAGGCTATGTGCTGTGCAGTCAGAGATGCACTGTAAGGCGTCCGGTGCCTGCTCCTCCATGTCTGTGAAAAGCAAAGGCCTATTGCTCAAGCTCTGGTTGGGCATTCTGAGTCTGGATGGTTTTTGCTCTTAATGGCCCCTTTGGTCAATAACTGGTGTCTTGGGCACCATGTGATCCTTCATGGTCACTTTTGGCTAAAATGTATGTGGCATTTGTGGAGAGCATATAGAATCTCTTCAAGTGTCTTTGTCCTCTCTCTTTGTATGCCTGTCCCTACCACCTCTCCAAACTCATGCTTTCTGTCCTCTGCCCTCTGGATGCCCCTGAGCCTGACTCTACTTGGAAGCCTTCTGTGCTCACCCAGCGATGTTGTTTTGTTCTCCAGTTAAAGAAAGTACAGACAATAACCACCAGGTCGAACTCCATCAGACAGGGGAAAAACCAGCTTTTCCCTGTAGTCATGAATGGCAAGGACGATGATTTGTGGTGTACTGAGCTTGAAAAGTAAGTGCATTATTTACTTTTCTATCGCTGTGATAGACACTAGGACCAAGAACATTTATAAAACACTTTATTTGTGCTTATGGTTCCAGAGGACTAAGAGTCCATCATGATAGGGAAGCAGGAAGCATGGCAGCAGGCTGAGAACTTATATCTTGTACTGCAAGAATGAAAGCAGAGAGAGAGAGAGAGAGAGAGAGAGAGGAGAGAGAGAGAGAGAAAGAACTAGAAATGGTGGAATCTTTAAACTCACAAAGGTCTTTCCTAGTGGCATTACTATAGCAAGGCTACTGTGGGTTGTTTATCATTCTAATCACCACAGTGAACAAGACTGCACTTGGGGAGGCAATCTGTGGGGGCAGACTGGAAGGAGAATGTAGTCAGAGCCAGCAGCACACATAGCCTCAATTCCTTAGCCTTAGTTGCCTTAGTTCCTCCAGGCCCCACTGGTCCTATATAGTCTGTATAATAATAGCTTTTCAGAACTAGTCCTTATTTTCCCACAGAGATGGTGGCACTGTGGTGATGAGAAATCTCAGGTATGAGGTTATTACATAGCACTGCCTCTCTGTCACCTGCATTGCCCTGACATTGTCCTGTCCCAACTTCCTGGGTTCTTAGGAAAATGGGAAACCCCTCAGCTCTTTTATCCACATTCCTTCTGGGGCAGCTGATTCCTCCTTGGTCACAGTCTGTCTTTAACCTCTTACAGTTTCTTGGGCTGTGCTGTCTGTTGTCATGTGAAGATCCATCTCTTGGATTTCAAGTTTTTTTTTTTCTTTCTTTTTTTTATGTTGTACCTCTATTCTGAAGACTTTTGTAGTGTATATTTTCTTCCCAAATCCCAGTTTTGGTTTTATTTCTTCTTTAACAAGTAGTTTTAATAAAAATGTAACTTTCTTTTAGGGGTAAAGCTAAGTCTCACTCTGTTACTAGCCTACTCTGTAGCCAGCCTGGAACTTAGTATGCAGTCTAGGTTGGCCACAAGCTCATGGCAGCCATCTTGTTTCAGTCTCTCAATGGCTGTACTACAGGCATGAACCACCATACACAGCCTAGAAGGTTAATTTCTGGGCTGGTGAGAGGGATCAGCAGACAAAGGCACCTGTTGCACAATCCAGACAACCTTAATTTTCACCTGAGAAAGTTGTCCTCTGCTCAAAAACATGCATATACACAAACTAAATAAATTCAAATAATTGAAAAATAGTGATTTCTCATTAATAGAAAAACTGTAGATAACCTCGCTCAGTCTATCTGTGAATAGAGTCTTCTGGAAACCCTAGCATAGTGTTCAGAGTTGTGATTCTGAGACCTAATGCAGAAGGATGACACAATGGCAATGTCAAAGCAAAGGAAAGCAACCCTGGGGATAGCCCCTGGCTCATTGGTGCTGTTTCAAGAAACTGGGTCATAAGAACTTATTTTTTCAAATGTTATTACATACGCATTGTGTGTCTGTATTTTGACAAATGCCGTAGGCAGATTCTGACTTTTAAATTGTACTTAACTGAACTGGGGTTGAAAGTCTGCTCTGCTTTTTTGGGGATGATTTGTTCCCCCTAAAAGAAACTGCAGGGCTGAGGAGATGCTTGGCCATTAAAATGACAAGTGCAGGGATTTGAGTTGGAGCCAAGTATGGCAGGCAGAGCAGGAGGATCTCTGGTGCTTGCTGTCAAACAAGCCAGCCTAATCTGCAAATTCCAAGAGATCCTTGTCTCAAGAAAAAAAAAAAAAAGATGAATGCATGGCCCCTGAGGAATAACACCTGAGGACTAAGGATGACCTCTGGCCCCATGGACATATCTACATCTCTCCATCCCAAGAGATCGGCTGCTAAACTTCTCTCATGGTGTTTTGAAGTCACACATGTATATGGGCTGATTGGCAATTCATGGATTAATTCTCAGTAGGCATTTAAGAATGGTCCCTGCACAGCACATAAGGACCCGAAGCATAGTCCCACAAGAGAGCACCAGTGCCCTGTGACTCAACTATCAGCTGTCAGCAAGTGTTCTGAAGATCCAGGGGAACTGGTAGTGTAGAAGGTTCCTTTGAGCCCAAGAGTCCTGACTGAAGGCATGGGGAAAGGCAATTGTGTGCAGAGACAGTGGCAGCCTTTAGGCTTTCCCAGACCTGGGTTTCCAGAACACAGCTGTTCTGGGTGTGCTGGGGACATGGGCCCTTCTAACCTTGCGTCTTTTCTCTCTGTACTCTCCTAGGATCTTTGGCTTTCCTTCACACTACACGGATGTGTCTAACATGGGCCGTGGTGCCCGCCAGAAGCTGCTGGGAAAGTCCTGGAGTGTGCCAGTCATCAGACACCTCTTTGCCCCGCTGAAGGACTACTTTGCATGTGAATAGTTCTACCCAGGACTGGGGAGCTCTAGGGTCTTGGGGTTAATGCCAGTCATTAGGAGTCAAATTGATCCTTAGAGCACCCCAGATCTGCCCTTCTTTAGCTCACTGTTTGGGCCTCACTATGTACTCAGTTCTCTTCGGGTCAGTGGTAGCAAAGCCTCCTGGCCCTACAGGGGAATCTCCTTGTGCAAAGCTCAGACCTGGCATCTTATAGTGGTCCAACATGGTTCTCATGTTTTCCAAGTTTAGAACTTTAAAACCAAGCTGACCAGTGGTGGCACATGCGTTTAATCCCAGCTCTCTGGAGGCAGAGACAGACAGATCTCTGTGAGTTTGAGGCCAGTCTGATCTACAAAGCAAGTTCTAAGAGAAACCCTTTATTGAAAAACCAAAACCAAAAAACCAGAGTCAACAAGGGAGAAACTGCTTTGCTTCAACAGTTTTTTGCTGATTTTTAGGCTGAAAGATGACAGATGCATAGGGTTTACCCTTTTGTTTTAATTAAAGTCAATATTTCTCAGCAATAATATCTTTTAAAAAATTTATAAAAATATGGAACGCTTCACGAATTTGCGTGTCATCTTTGTGCAGGGACCATGTTAATCTTCTCTGTATCGTTCCAATTTTAGTATATGTGCTGCACAGAAATGATCTCTTTTGCACTTTGTTCTTCTGGAAGTGTGCTGTTGGTTATCCAAGCATCAAGCACAGGGATGCCTGGGGTCTGCAGGGGCTCATGGAGCCTGACATCTACTGCAGTGCCCTCAGAACACTGCATCTGCATTCCCCGGGGGCTTCTGACAGTCCTTATGGCTAGCCCCATTGACAGTTTCATTTGCTGCTTGCTGCTCCAGGGAGACAGCCAGCTAGAAAGGCCTATTCAGGCCTTGAGTCCCAGCTTATTCTCTGTTGCTCTGACCTGCTGGGCCTAGTGGTACACCTTTAATCTCAGCACGGGGAAGCAGAGTTCAGGATAGCCTGGTCTACATATCAAGTTCCAGGCCAGCAAAGGCTACACAGTGAAACCCTTTGTGAAACAAAACACCCTCCCCCAAAGAAAACAAAAGCAAAACCAAAACAAAACCCTGAATTCTGACCTAAAGCAACTCAGCATTTATTTGTCTAACATTTGTCCAGGTCACAGACAATCATCAAGAGAAGTTAGGGTAGGAACTCAAGTAGAAACTGAAGCAAAACCATGGAGAAATGCTGCTTACTGGCTCACTCACTGGGTTTACTTGCTAGCTTTCTTATACAGCCCAGGCTACTTGCCTATGAATGGCGCTGGGCCCTCCCATATCAATCAACAATCAAGACAGTCGTTCACAGGCATTGCCTCAGGCCAATATGATCTGGGCAGTCCGTGATCCAGACTCCCTTTTCCCAGGTGATTCTAGGTTGTGTCAAGTTGACAACCCAAACTAACTAGGACATTTGGCAAAGGCTTGATTGTGACACCCATCTCTAGACATTTTTAGGAAGCTAAGATGATACCCATGCAGAAGAACACGATTCCTGATTCCTACGGTTCCTCACAACTTCTGTAGCAGTCTACTGAACCTAATTTCCCAATTGTCCAGTCGACAGGGTGCAGGGCAGCTACTTTTAGTGACCAGGCTGGCTGGGAATGGCTGTTGAGATTCTAACAGGTTTTTAATTTCATGTATTATCATTGTCATCATCATCATCATTAGTGTGTGTGTCTCAGCATGTGTGTGGAATTCAGAATAGCTTTGTGGAATGGGTTATCCTTCCACCTTTACAGAGGCCCCGGGCATCAGACTGAAGTCATCAGTCTTGTGCAATAGGTACCCTTGCCTACTGAGCCATCTCACGGGCACTTGACACAATCTTTTATCTAGACTGGCTTACAGTGAGTTGAATGCCCAGACTAATATCATATTTATTGACCATTTAAAGATGTTCTTGTTTCTTCACACTCAAAACTGCAACTGCCTTTGGTGGCTCTGCCTTAGTTTAGTTGGAGCCAGCAAGCAGCCAAGGTGTACAACACCTAGAGCCCATCATGACGCGCTCCAGCCTTTAGTTAAGAAGCAGGGGCCAAGGGGAGCGTGCATCAGTTATTAGCATGTGGGACAGCAGGTAAGATGTGTACTGGGTGCATGTGGCCCTGATCAACCTCACACTGATCCCTCTCTGCCTCACGGTGTGACTTGGCTTCATAGGTCAGGGGACTCATAGGGTCTGGCCCACGGTTAACTAGTAGCAGATAGGGAGGGGCGAAGCTTTGCAAGTGGAAGGATGGGAAACCACGTAGGTTATTAGAAAGTTGCCTGTGGTTAGTTAGAGCAGCCCTGGTGAGATTTGCCATGGTGACACAACCCGCAATTAGCAAAAGACTGGGCCTGTGTACTCCACTCTCTGAGGACTTGAGACCCGAGGGATGGCTGCTGCCCAATTAAGCCATCTTGTGTACAGCACTGCACCAAATGCCAGGACAAGATGAAGCAGAATAAACAGCTCCCTCCTCAGAACCTCAAGAGAAGAAACCGACGGGCCCCCCAGGTGAGGGGCTCTGGGGCATCCCAGCCTGCTGTGGGGCAAGCTGGTGGAGACCTTGAGGGGGTAATGTGTAATGTGTAACTTTTCTCAGGATAGGCTAGGCTTGAATTTGAGTGGCCCCGGCTGTGTGGCTGTGGGAGAGTATGAACACATTGGGACAAAGGTTGGAGTTGGCATCCCATGTAGATCTCTTGGCATGCTCGCTCTCATAGGATTGCATCTGGGGCCTGACACACTCTGCATTGCCTCAAGCAGATGCCTTGCAATCTGGAGCTTCTAATTTCACATTTAAAAGGCGAGAATGGTACATTCTATATATTTTATAGGTTAGTGAATTCCATGGGCGAGATCTGGAGAAAATGCTTTGTTTCTGCCTTATAGGCAGCAAGCCTTATACTTGTAATATACGGCATTAAGATGAAAGGCATCTGTCATCTCAGTGTTAGCAGCAATGAAGACGATGGTAATGAGAGCAACAAGCAATGATTATGAATCATGAAGCCCTTAAAACGGATGCGACAGTAATGCCCAGATGTGCAGCAGCTGCCCACTGATGCCAGTGCTGGCAACAGCAGCATCTGGTGCTCATCCCTCATTGTCCTTCACTGTTTGAGGTCTTAGTGTCCCTTGTTAGGGATGGAGCAGTGGCTTTGGGTGCTAGGTGGGGATCTTGTTTCAGGACCTGGCCCCGGGTCACTCCCATGGCCGTGTGGTGGTTGTAGGGCAAACACCAGGCACGTGACGCTCCCATTCCTCCTCATTCTTGTTTTCTAGTTAAGTGATTAAGTACCTGCACTGAGATGATCTTGGTCCTTTATTCCTCTCTGGAGCCAGATTATCTGGGTTCCCGGATTGGCGGCCCATTCCTTCATGTGAGCGTGCATGTTTTGATATCTTCTTTGGGTCCCTCCACTCCACAGCTATGAACTCTCAGCCTCACAGGGCTGGTATTGGCTCAAATGATTGAGTATTCGGGAAGCATGGCTGAGAAATGCTTTTTCTTGCAGTTGAACCTCCCCAGACCCCCAGTAACTTTTGGGAGGCCTGACCACTGCAGCTATAGGGGAAGAGAGCTGGGAGAGGCCCCTCCACAGGCTCATACAGCTGTCAGGTCTAGGGTAGCAAGCAGAAGTCCAACTCCTGAAGCCAGTCTGTCTTTGCTCCTTGGTCTTGGCTGCATCTTGTTTTGCTTTGCTTTGGTGAAAATTAAAATTCTCTGCAGCCCTTGATTCTCTGCAGCCCGTGGCACTCATACAATTTGTTGACTTCACACTATCTTCTACTTTTTGTTCAGCCCCACCGCCCTCCTTTCTCACCGCCTATCTTGCTTCCTCCTGTTCTTCTCCTGTCAAAGTTTATTGAGTTCAAAAAACTTGGAATTAAATCTTACATGTAATAGTGTGTGTGTGTGTGTGTGTGTGTGTGTGTGTGTGTGTGTGAGCTGAGACAGAGTGGCATGTATCCCAGACCTAGCCTTAAAATTGTGATCCTCTTGTCTTCAGCCCCCAAGTGCTGGGATTAGAGGCTGAGGTCACCACACCCAGTTTCCCAAACTGTTTCTGTGACAGGATGGAATTCTCTTTTCCACCTGTTTTCTGATCAAAACGTACTGAGATGAAGGTAAGTTTGGTATATTATTTATTTTTCTTGTCATCATGAGCAAGTCCATCAGGCATGTCAGGAGAACTCAGTGACAGGCCTCTCTGTGGAGCTGTGTGTGGCAGTGGAAGCGGAGAAAAGGGAATGCTAGTACTCGGTTGCATTCCTCCTGTTCCCCTTTTCTGTTTAGACCAGGACCCCAGCCCATGGGAAGGTCCCCACTATGCTCAGCGTGGGTTTCCCTTCCTCAGTTAAACCTCTTGAAAAATGTCCTGTCCTCACAGCCATGCCCACACTCTTCTAATTGACTCTAAATATAATCAGGTTGTCACTAAGGACTAATGGTGGACTGATTGGGCCACGAGCCCCTCTCTCTTCTCTGTGGGAACTGTCATGGAGTATAGGTGAGTTTTATTTTTAGAAACCCTGATTCAGGTGGAGAGGGAGGAGGGTTGATCAAAGGAGCCAAGACGGGCTGGAGAGACCTGCAGAAACAGTGGACCTGATCTACTGATAACATGGAGACCCTTGTCATAAAGCTGGGGAAACAGCATTGGACCAAACCAAGCCCTCTGAATGTGGGTGCCAACTAGGAGGCCAAGACAGTCTATGGGACCTCTAACGGTGGAGCCAGTCTTTATCCCTAGAGCACAATGGACTTTGGGAGCCCATTCCCTATGGAGGGATACTATTGTAGCCCAGATACAGCAAGGAGGGCCTAGGCCCTCCCCCAAACGATTTGACAGACTTTGAAGGTTATTTATATATATATATATATATATATATATAAATAAAGAAACCCTGATTCAGGCACCTCCCAAGACCCCCCGTGTTTCTAAAAGCTGAGTCTATACTTCATTCCTGGACTGGAGTATAGTCCA